GTACTTTTCATGCTAATGTTGCTCTAGAATATTTCCTAATTTATTTATTTATCTTTATTCTTGTATCTTCGCCAGAGAATTTGTTTCTATGCTAACACATACAGATAACTGTTCTGACAAATATAATACTTCTTTTATAATTCTATTATTTCTTATAACTCATAATTATCATGTATGAAAATAATAAAAATAATATAACTCAAATATGTATATAAAGGCTTCAATTTTGCCTAGGAATTGGCAGGCTTGAACATATATTTTATCGAATAAATAAATTGACCTTTGCAAAACAAATTACTATTGCCTCTTTTGTCTGACCTCATATATCTCAGAACTGTACTAATTTGTATGTCTCTAGGAACTTTAGTATACCATATTGGCCCTGTCTATCTAAAGTATCTCCTTGCTACTAGTTCTCCATCTTTATCTTTCTTCTGAGGTAGAAATGATATATGACACCAGATAGTCCAATAACATTACAAAGTTTGATACAAAGTCATGATCACAAAAACTCAATAAAGAAGTATATAAATATTTGATTACTATTTTTAATAAAGAAATTCTTGTATTTGGTGTTAATATATATGAGTAATTATTTTTAAAAATAACAAAAATGCTAAATATAATTTTTTCGAACCCAACTTTTAAAACAATATATATATAATATAAATTTTAGGATCATGCCAGAAAATTTCCAGTCCATCTTCAAAAATAATTACCTATATATATAATTTTATACTATTTATACTATATATCTATATTGATAGATAATTCTATTTTCATTATCAAAATAATTATGTAAAAATAGCATCAAAAGATAATCAAATAATATAAATAACTGTTTGAATCCTAATATGCCTAAAGTACCAGTATTCTGTAACAAAGTGCAAAGACTTTGAATAAAGACATGTCTACCATAACTAGCCATAATTGTGACAGCAAAACTCCCTTTCACTATTCCTGAAATACTGAATCCTATTGCATAAATGGCAGCAAGAGACATGGCAGGAACAAATCTTGAAATAACCAATAATCCAATAATCCTGATAATAGTTTGACTATTCTTGATATCTTCAAATTTAAATGATAGGAGTTCAATTGATGGGAATTCAAATAATGAAAGTTCAATTGACAGGAGTTCAATTGATGGGAATTCAAATGATGAAAGTTCAATTGATGAGAATTCAAATAATGGAAGTTCAATTGACAGGAGTTCAATCAACAAGAGTTCAATTGATGGAAGTTCAATCGACGAGAGTTTAAATGATAGGAGTTTAATTGATGAAGGCTTAATCAATGAAACCTCAATTGATGAAACTTGATATTTCCTTATCGAGAAATCATGTTCTGTAGAAATCTTGATTTGATTTTCATGTGTATTAGAAAGTTTCATGGAAAGTTTAATTTCAGGAATAGAAGTATCAATGGAAAGTTGACTAGAAAAAATTATTAGAAAAATTGCCAATATCAAATATTTAATTTTAAGTGAATGTTATAATAGAAGTAAAATAAAAGTAAGAAAAAATTATAATAGAAATTTACCTTTTAATTTCTATTTTTTTATGAGTATTTGGTACCAAAGAAAGAACAATTCTGTGTTTAAATACTATATTGTATTTATCTTATACAGTATTGTTATTTTTTCAGAATTTTGTGATTGGATAATTTTGTTTTCATTTATGTATAAGTTTTGCATATACATTGTATAATTTACCAAAATTAACTTTTCATGTGATTCCACTTATTCACAAGCCACTAATAAAGCTTAAGCTTTTTAGATACAAAAAATATACATAGCGGGATATAGTGTTCCTGTAGAATACTTGCCAGTCTTCCAATCAATATATACAAGTAAGAATAATAATATATATATATATTTGTATAATATTGGAATATCCATGACAGGGGGGTACTATACACTGTGATGTATGATAGTACTTTCGAGTGAAATCTCCGAATATGTTCATATAATAAATAAAAATAATCGATACATAAAGAATTTGACTAATTTCATAAAATCTCGAGAAATTTTGCATAATAAAATATATATAAAAATCCTTAAATTTTTTTATTATAAAATTAATAGGTATTATTTAATAAAAATATTTTAATAAAAGTTAATACATTTTCAAAAAAAAATTTTTTTAATAATAATAATAATAATAATCAAATAATAAATAATGAAGTATTCCTTTATTAATCCTAACATCATAATGTCCCACACATTAAATGTTACAAATAAAAACAATTCATGAATTTACACTTTTAGGATATATTAAAAAACCTTCATATTCTTTATTTGTTGAATAAATAAAAATTATATAGGAATCACTTAATATAAATTGAATTCAAAATTTATTTAAATATTGTGAAATATAGGGCTCCAAAAAAGTACCAAACTGGTATTGAACTGGTATTGAAATGGTACCAATCTATAATAAATTTAATATATGGGTTGTGACCTACTCATATGTTTTTATAATAAATTTAAGTATTGAACTGGTATCAAAGTGGTATCAAAGTGATATCATTAAGAGCCCTGGTAAAATATAATAATATTTTTTATCAAATCTATTTATTTTACTTTGTTTTATAAACCTATTAATTTCACTTTATATTTCACAAACCTATTTACTTCTTTATATTTTGCAAACTCATTCACTCCACTTTACATTTTGCAAACCTATTTACTTCACTTTATATTTTGTAAACCCATCTACTCCATATTACATTTTACAAACCCATCTACTTCACCTTATATTTTGTAAACCTATTATTTTTATTTTACATTTTACAAACCTATTTATTATTCTTTGTATTTTGCAAATCTATTCATTTTGTCTTATGTTTTGCAAATCATCTATTCTATAGTCTAAAAATTGAAATTGAACAGAATTGCAGGGAATCATATAAGATTTAGAACACTATAAAAAATGATGGTAGGATATATTCCACCTATTAAATTTAATATAAACCATAGAATCGAATACAGAATTGAAGAGAATTATTAGGATCCTTAATCTATTTCATCTTATATTTTACAAATCTATTTATTCTGCCTTCATTTCACAAACCTATTCATTTTACCTTACATTTTATAAACATATCCATTTTATTTTACATTTTGCAAACCTATTTATTCTATCTTATATTTCACAAACCCATCCATCCCACCTTATATTTTGCAAATCTATTTATTCTGCCTTACATTTTACAAACTCATTTATTTTACTTTATATTTTATTTTTTTAATTTTTTTTTTTACTGTAAACAAGCATAAAATGCGAGACTTTATTGATTAATTAATAATCCTGTCATTACATTAAGCATCCATTTAAGTTAACATTAGCCTATTGCATAAAAAACTTCTAAAACGATAAAAACACTATGTGGGTAAAACCACAGTAGAAGTGGTTCATGAATGGCTTATGCCTGTTCATAAACAGCTAAGTTATGGCTGGTGGAAATATTTTTTTTAGTAGTACGAAAGATTTTTAAGAGATTTGTCTTAATTTGATAAGTTTTTGATGTGTCTTTGTATGATATTATTGTTGTTGTTGTTTCTAACAAGTTAATACTGGTTTGGTTCTTGTTTGATTGAAATGTCAGAATTAGATTGACCATTGGGATTGTGTAGATCGTTTGGAGGGTTAAGCTGGTTTTGGTTTTTGATTTTGTGAAAATTTTTGATATCGTTGCAGTGGTACAGTAAAGTATACTGTATTTAAGTTGTTTAGAAAGGTTTGGTTGAAACAAGTAGGAGAACCCAAAACTCTATTTGAATGTACTTTTAGAAAGAAATTAGTGATGTTAAGAATAATAAGAAGGATAATTATTATGATAATAATAAAGGATGAGGTGCATAAAGACAAAGTTAAGAAGGAAGACTGTCATGGGCCTTTCCCCATGCAACCAAAGAACAAACAAGACTCCCAAATTTGCTTGACCTTTGACCAGAGGTCCTATTTCGATGCAACAATAGTTCTTAAAGTCCTTAAGTCCTTGAGCTTATGGTATGGTTAACATATTAAAGAAAGAGAGAAAAGTGCTTCTTTCAAGAAAATTACCATAAAAGGAAATTTTCAAGAAATCAGTGATGAATGGGCAAGAGTTTTTTTTTTTTTATTAAAATTTACTTTATATATTTTTTGGAGGGGTTTCTCCAGTAGGTAAACATCATTTCTTTATTTTGATTTGTATATAACAAGGTATACATCATTGAAAGAAACAACATCTCTCTTATTATTTCAGAAGAGTTAAATGCTAGCTTGCCTACTTATCAATATCTAACTAATATCGTAAAAAAATTCAAAATCAATATTAATATGCTAGATAAGGCTGAGTAGCGGCTATGCCTACCATCCCAGAAAATTTTGCGAATTCTTTTAATTTTTTAAGTGTAAAAATTTAAAAATAAAAATAAAATTGACTATAACTAGAACTAAATCAAATATACTATATAATCCATGTGTTGAACAAAAAAACTCCTTGGTGAGCTCGTGGTCCCAACTCTCTGGCTCCTCGCGTGCTATAAATAATAGAGTACACGTGATGTTGTTTGTTGTTATGGTCATTGGTGATGAGTTATTTGTTGTTGTTGTTATAATCATTGTTGTAATACAAAACTGGTTTGAGCTTGTTTGGTTTTTGTTTTGATTATTGGACAAAATCTGATTGGATGATTGTGGAGTACTGATTATCTGGAGGGTAAACTGATTTCGGTTTTTTGAGTGAGAAATTTTTGGTGGATGAAAGTGGCACAACAAATGTTGCTACAAGAATATTGTGTATAAGGGTTGACTTGAAACAAACAGTAGACCTACTAACTCTGTTTAATATGTGTTTTGAAAAGTGTTTGGTTTAGCGAGTATGATGGTAATGATGTGGATGATTTTTATGATAGAATAAGAGTAAGGAAAAATGCAAGAGAACTGAAGAAAAGAGAACTGCCATGGGCCTTTTCTTATGCAACCAAAGAATAAACAAGACTTCTAAACTTGAATAGACTTTGACCAGAGATCCCATCCCACTGCACCAGTTGTCTTGAAGATTCTTGAGTTTCTGAGCTGGGGCTCACTTGCGATAAAGAGAGTAAAACATTTTTTCTTGCTTAAAATTACCATAAAA